GGAAAAGCACAGGTGTAAATAATGAAAGAATGATGGCTGAATTCCATTTAGCAGCTTCAGTTTCAAGGTCCTGGTATTTTGCATGCTGGCTCACAGGCACACTGTCACAGCTCACTGAGACACTTGAATAGAACAGAGACATCTTTAATGTAATTTGTAACACCTGTGCTTTTTCATCTATGACAAGTGAAAGTGTCAAACCTTTTTTACAGCAGCCATTTTGACATGAAATAGTAGGGTAAATACAAGTGTTACTAATGATACTAATTAAGGTTATGTTCCATTTAGTGCAGCAGAGCCTTTCCAGTGAGCCAACATGCACAATAGCACCCTGACTCTTTTTGACCTGAATGGAATCATAGTTAAGAAAATCAGTTGCGTTTCAACTGTTAAAAAAAGTGTAGGTATTGGTGGTGTGGTAAGTATTGTTTGTTTGTGTAATAAGTTAGAGTTTGTCATGTTATTGAAGGAAATGCACAAGTGGAATTAATAACATTAAAGTTGCAGTAGGTAACTTTTATAAAAAAAATAACTTTTTGTCATATTTGCTGAAATCTTCACTATATCCTGACAGTAGTACACGAGACAGACAATCTGTGAAAAAATCAGGTTCCTCTGGCTCCTCTTAGTGCACCTGAAGGCATTTGTAAAAAACCACCAGACCTGGATAAAAACAACCTATCGGTGCTGTGAAAGATAAAAGACGCTTTGGGTTGGAAACTTGAAGATAGTTGATTTTTTAGTCTCATTCCCAATGTCCCAAAGCGTCTGTATAAACGCTACCTACTGCAGCTTTAATTATGGTCTGCATTATAATGTATTGATATATTGGTACTGCCACAGCTAAATGGTGCAGAGCCTTAATTAATGTTATCAGTTTCACCTGTGCTTTTCCTGCTATGGCAAGTCAAAATCCCTACTGAGAAAGCTCTGAAGGTTTGTTCTATGTTTATAACACAGGTGTCCCTAACAGCTGACACTCTCTTCATACCCGTATTGTTCCTTTAGTAGTTCACCAAAAAAGGTCTCTTACAAAATCCATAATAATCAATAAAAGCTTCATAAGCAAATGATTCATAAAATATGACTCAAACTATTTTCAAATAGCTGAAAGAACAGCCAAATTTCAAACAGAAAAAATATAAAAACAAGTATAAAAATAGATTTAATAAATCATCCTTCATTTCATAGATTCCATAGATACAAATCATTTGAAATTATTCTGATCATGGGTTTGTTAAATGAACTTCATTGAATTCATATAGTATCATCTTAATTCAAATTATGTAATTTTTTTCCTGTCACCTCCCTCCAGCTGAACAATGAAATTTGACCATAAACCTTACAATTGCAACAGCCTTTACAAACACCTGACCACTCTTATGTTTCCACACTAGATGTGACTTCTTTTAAGTGGTAACACATATTACACATACATAGTATCATGTAAGCATGTATTATAATCTTCATTAATTACATTTGTAATAAATGATGAGAACAATTTGACTTGTTATGTGAAATATGATTAATTTGCTAATGAACCATTTTATATGAACCTGGTTATACAATTGTGTATATGTATAATTCAGTTCCTGATTTGTTAAATTACATGTGTTGGAACCAAAATTATTTTTTTAATTCATACAAAAATGTAATGGGGAGTCTCTGGGGATTTAAAGGGAAGGAACATTTTTAGTGCATCACCTGTTAAATAATAACTAGAAGCATCTATGTCAAGTGATGTGGTCCATATAGTGTGTCACTTGCTGTGTTTGTAACCTGAGGAAGATTTAGGGACACTATGCATAAACAATATCTTTCGGTGTTTTGTTGTTCTCTAAAACATGAGTTTGTGCTCATTTCTGGTGTCAGGGAAGGTTTGTTATGTAACATTTACAGCTCAGTGTCAGTGTGTATTTACTTCCACTTTTTAATTCAATGTTGAATCACAGAGACAAAAACAACATGGAAAAGTGTGTCAAGATTTCAGAGTTAAAAAAGCATGTGAGGCTGCCTAGTGAGTTGTTCTGCTGGATTTAACATGCTGTCACTCCCGAGCTTAGTCATTCAGCTGTTTGTGGGGGTCTGACGCATGAGTGGATAGGTCCTCTTTCCTGTCCACCAAAATGGATTCCTCAGCTTTGTGAGGGTCCTGTCTATAAATACCTCTGACTTACAGAGTGACTGACAGCCAAGGACAGCTGCAGCCACCAGCCAACCAACCTGTGGAGACCATTCACAGCAATCTGAGCAGCCCTGTGAACGCTGACAGTCCTGCTCTGTTGTGGGGAGTAAATAGGGTGTCCACGAAACCCAACCGGGACAAGGAGACCGAACAAAATGGCTGCCATGACCATAGATCCGGTGGAACAGCCTCGGATGTACCAACAGACTTTGCTTCAGGACGGACTGTGTGACCTCTTAGAGAATGACAAGTTTGTGGACTGCGTCCTCAAAATTCAGGACAAGGAGTTCCCATGCCACCGCTTGGTTTTGGCAGCCAGCAGCCCTTTCTTCAAGGCCATGTTCCTGTCTGACCTGGAGGAAAGCAAGAAGCGTGAGATTGTCCTCAAAGATGTGGAGCCAGGTGTTATGGGGATGATCCTGCGCTACTTATACACCTCTGACATTAACCTGACAGAACAGAATGTCCAGGATATCTTCATGGTTGCTAACATGTACCAGATCCCCTCCATCTTCTCTGTATGTGTGTCCTACCTTAAAGAGAAGCTGGTGCTGGGAAACTGCTTGGCTATTTTCAGGCTAGGACTGCTGCTGGATTGTCCCAGGCTTGCTCTCACTGCCAGGGAGTTCATCTGTGAACGCTACCAGGTTGTTGTCAGGGACCAGGACTTCCTGCAGCTGGGCCCAAGCGAGCTGGCCATCATCATCACCTCAGATGGTCTCAACGTTGAGAGGGAGGAACTGGTGTTTGAATCCCTGATGGACTGGGTCAGACATGATGAGACACACCGCGTTAAGGACCTGCCAGAGCTGTTGCACTGCGTCCGTTTCAGGCTCATACCTTTGGATTACTTCAAAGAGAAAGTAGAGCGTCACCAGTACCTCCGCTTCAGTCAGGATATCAAGAAGGACCTGGAACTCGTCAAGGATGCTTACAAGGGGCGTCTCCCAAAGCCTAGGAAGCCCAGCAAGGACGAGGCAAAGGGCGGGGAAGGAAGTGAGGAGGAGGACGACGATGATGAAGAGGAAGGGTACCTGCCGGGTATACTCAACAACTACCCTCGTTTTGGGATGTTTGAGATGGACCTGATGCTTATGATCAGTGACACAGGGACTGTGGCCTATGACCCAGTAGGAAATGAATGCTTTGTGGTCTCAGAGTCTACAGAAATTCCCAAAAACCACTGCAGCTTGGTGACCAATCAGAACCAAGTGTTTGTCATTGGAGGACTTATCTACAATGAGGAGGACAAAGATGAACCATTCAGCTCTTACTTCCTACAGGTAGTGCATGAGTCACGAAGACCATGAAAACATACCACTTTTCTTGTAAAACACTAATGATGCTTTAAACCTGAATCCACAATGAATTCTTCTGTCTCTCATTCCTTACATATGATTGTTCTCATCCACAGTTTGACCCAGTAAGTTCAGAATGGTTAGGGATGCCTTCACAACCCAACCCTCGCTGTCTGTTTGGCCTGACCGAAGCTGAAAACTCCATCTTTGTTGTTGGAGGAAAGGAACTGAAGGATGGCGAACACGCCCTGGACTCAGTCATGATCTATGACAGACAGTAAGTGAATACTAAATTTAATTTTTAAATTTTTTTTATTATTTACTAAGGAAACCTTTAGTGTATTCAAATACGATAATTTCCATTCAGTGTGAAACGACATCACTCTCATAGTCACATTAAAGGCAATATATTTCCAGATACTGAATTAGAACTGATTTAATATTTCTACATGAAAGAGTATCCCATCATTGTCTTGTGACAGTGCGTCTTTCTGCTGATTCACTTGGGTTTTTATTTTTTCGTTTATTTAGTCTAGATAAATTAAATTTTCTCAACTTTAAATCATTCATTCAGTTTATCTGAAATTTTAGGGGTCCATGGTTTTCTATGGACAGCAACATCATTTTTGTAAAATCAATATCATTGCTGCATGAGTCAGTAGATTCACCTTTATCATCTATATGTTATGTTAAACAGAGGAACCCTCAAGCAGAATACAAACTCGATTTCCAGAGACAGGCTTTATTGAGAACCAGGGAATGAAATGGTGATGTGAAGCGCCTGCTGTGGTGAGAGGATAAGGCTGAGACCCAGGCAGAGTAGAACTGAAGATGGAGGCAGTGTGGCAGATAGGATGGAGCGGGCAGGTAGCTGAAGTGAAGGTGATGATCCCGAGTCACGGGAAAAAACAAGGTTAAAGTTCACAGCACAAACAGGAAAAAAACTTCTCTTAAAGTTCTCTAACTAGCCAAGAAAGTTACTACCAGGTTTGTAGAGACAACAATCTGGTGTACAGTGGATGGAGAACCAGGGTGTATATACTGCAGGACTGATGAGTTGATAGCTGGCAGGTTTGAGCAGTCAGACAGGTGAGTAGGTAATCAGGGAGACACAGACAGAGAGAGAGACAGGGAAACCAGGGATGAGAAAACTATAGCAACTACTGACTATAACAGTCCCACCAATTGAGAAAGCATGGTTTATGTGAAAGTAACAGAAGGTGAGTCAAACACATAACAGCGCAAGTGACTTTGCACTCAGCTGCATGCCTTATTGAAATGCCACATAAGTTTGGGTGTTAGTGCTGTGTGCAAACAAAGACAGCACTTGGCAGTTTGCTCACATCCCACACTGCTTAGCTGAACTTGATCAATTTATGCTGAAATGTTTCATTCACAATTTGTGTTCAAAAGTTTGTACCAACTAACTGAATGATTAATGCTAAACCACTTCTCAGTTATTGTATCAAAGCATTTAGCATTGGTTTAAAATATACCTTCATCATCCCTTCTCCCTCCTCATTGCACTGTAGGGTGAAAAGGCCTAACCTAAAAGCCAACTCCAGAGAACAACAAGTTCTAAAGGCTCTAGTTTTGGCAGTTACAATGCTACTGCGGCTTATTGCTTTAGCCAAGCCCTAGGGGAGGGTTTAACACGGGGTTGAAGGCTAATGCCATCAACTACATGACCTTGTATATACTTCAGGTTGATGTTAAACTAATCTCATCACAGCAGAACAACTGGGCAAGTTTTATCAGCTGCTTTATTTAAGCTTTTAATGGCAATCTTAGCCATCTCTGTTCCCTTGGCAGATATAAAGCGAGATCAATGACCCTGTTGTTGTTTCTGCATCTCTTAATGTCTTCCTGTGAGACAAGCCAGAGGGTGTTAAACCCGTTTACAGGCTGCTTTGGCCTTACAACAGACTGCAGAGAGAGCCAAAGCCCGGCGGAGATGGAACACAGCCACAAGGAAATGATCAGAATAATAGTGTTAGATTTATGTGGCAGTGCCTACAAAGTGGATGTTTAGCTCCTTGTAGGAAGTGAGTCATGGTACAACGATAAACTATAGGGCTCCTCGATTGGATTCATCAAAACATGTTTGTGTGTGTGTGTGTATTAACCCCTCCCTATTCCTCTTCTGCAGGCCGTAAAGTAGCCGAGTCCACGCCAAACTTCCTTTCACCTTCAGGCAGCGAGAGCTCCAAAATGGTGCTACGAGACGAGAAACTGCTGCTGGAGTGTATTGCTGCTGGACTGTGAGCTCACATGTGCACACACACAACACACACACA